TGTGAAACCCGTGTTCCTTTCCACCCGAAGGACTGGAGTTGTTATTCCGAGAGGGTGCGATTCGTCCGGACCAGAGCGCCCTGCGCATCGCAGGCTCAAATGTCCATGTCCACAGGCGCCGGCACAGTGTCCCCGCGGGGCTGTGCGACCTCCCTCTCAGGGCCAGGTCTCCCCACGGGGTCACAGGTCAGATGCAGGTGCCTGAAGCTGAGCCCAGGGGATGAACAGTTCCTTCCTTATGGCGCTGTCCACCCGGGTCCCCGCAGGCTCCTCTCGGGAGTGACCTGCGTGGGGAGGAGGCTGGATTGGTCCTTTTTGGTGGCTTTCTGAGGTCAGGATGTGATACGTATCTTGCTTATTATAAGATTGTGTTTTTGTGGTGCTTCGGGGGAAGGAGCAGGTTGTGGCCTCGCCCTCCCGTGTTAAGCCTGGCGGAGGGGTAAGCTGGTGCGGAGCTGACTGTCGCTGGAGACATGGCGCAGCAGGAAAAGTGCACCATTGGCACAGCAGGAAAAGTGCATCATTGGCACAGCTGGAGAAAAGTGCACCATTGGCACAGCAGGAGAAAAGTGCACCATTGGCACAGCTGGAGAAAAGTGCACCATTGGCACAGCTGGAGAAAAGTGCACCATTGGCACAGTAGGAGAAAAGTGCACCATTGGCACAGCTGGAGAAAAGTGCACCATTGGCACAGCTGGAGAAAAGTGCATCATTGGCACAGCAGGAGAAAAGTGCACCATTGGCACAGCAGGAGAAAAGTGCACCATTGGCACAGCTGGAGAAAAGTGCACCATTGGCACAGCTGGAGAAAAGTGCACCATTGCACAGCTGGAGAAAAGTGCACCATTGGCACAGCAGGAAAAAAGTGCACCATTGGCACAGCTGGAGAAAAGTGCACCATTGGCACAGCAGGAAAAAAGTGCACCATTGGCACAGCTGGAGAAAAGTGCACCATTGGCACAGCAGGAAAAGTGCACCATTGGCACAGCTGGAGAAAAGTGCACCATTGGCACAGCTGGAGAAAAGTGCACCATTGGCACAGCTGGAGAAAAGTGCACCATTGGCACAGCAGGAAAAAAGTGCACCATTGGCACAGCAGGAAGAGTGCACCATTGGCACAGCAGGAAGAGTGCACAATTGCTCGGAAGCCGCAGGGCTGAGCGGAAGGCCCTGTTTAGAAGCGTGTAAGGACGGGAAGAATGCGTGGGCTTTGTTTGGGAAGTAACCGTGGGTAACTCATTGTTAACGTGTAGGATATGGTGTATGGGAGACTCCTGAGAAAGTGCTTGGGAAGGATGCAACCATTTCATGTCTTCATAGGGGCTTTTCTCCTGAAACATTTAGTGCAGCTTTAAAAAAATGACTTTTAAGCCTGAAAGTTCTTATAGTCACCCTGTAAAAACCAGTTATTTTGACTCCATGGTACTTTATAGCGCAGAATGAAATCTATGAACTAATTTATTAGAACAATTTAAGTCAGACTTTGCCATTGAAATATTGCTTGATGTTAAATAATTATTCTGTTTTTAAAAAATATATTTTTATTGATTTCAGAGAGGAAGGGAGAGGGAGAGAGAGAGAGTAACATCAGTGATGAGAGAGAATCATGTATCAGCTGCCTCCTGCACGCCCCCCCCCTGGGGATCAAGCCGGCAACCTGGGCCTGTGCCCTGACCAGGAATTATACCAGTGACCTCCTAGTTCAGTGATGGCGAACCTTTTGAGCTCGGCATGTCAGCATTTTGAAAAACCCTAACTTAACTCTGGTGCCGTGTCACATATAGAAATTTTTTGATATTTGCAACCATAGTAAAACAAAGATTTATATTTTTGATATTTATTTTATATATTTAAATGCCATTTAACAAAGAAAAATCAACCAAAAAAATGAGTTCACGTGTCACCTCTGACACGCATGTCATAGGTTCGCCATCACTGTCCTAGTTCATGGGTTGATGCTCAACCACTGAGCCACGCTGGTCAGGCATTAATTTTTGTTCTTATTTAAATACCTCTGTCATTTAAGAATGGGAAAGGCCCTGGTCGGTGTTGTTAAGTGATTAGAGCTATGGCCCACACACCAGAGGGTCACAGGTTTGATTCCTGGTCAAGGGCAGGTACCCTTATGGTTGCAGGTTCAATCCCAAACCCCTGTAGTGGCCTGTACAGGAGGCAACCAATCTTTGTGTCTCTCTCACATGTTCCTCTCTCACTCTCTCCCCCCTTCCCTCCTCTCTCCTTCTCTCTTCCTCTCCCTCCCTCTCACCCTCATTTACTCTCTAAAAAAATCAATGGAAAAAATACCCTAGGGTGAGAGTTAGTAACAACAACAAAGAATGGGGAAGATAGATGGTTTTCTGAATAGAATGTAGTAATTATTCGATGTGACCATAGTTACTCCTACTCTGCTTTACTGATAGAAACTTTCAGGTGTGGGAGCAGTCACTGCCTCAGCTGTGAGCGGAGGTCACCCCCCAGCACCAGTTCCCCTGCTGAGCCTTTACTCTTGGGAATGTTAGAATTCGCTGTCACATCTCAGGTGACTCCTCTCGTTCAGGTCTCCAGTGTACAATACAGTGACTTCCGTAGGAGGTAAATAGTAAAGTGAGTTTTAATTCTTTTGACCGTTTGTAAGGACACACATTTGGAAATTGATGTAGTATCAGAAGCAGATTCTTCAGGCAGATACGTTGGTAGCTTAGATGCTTTTCTATAATGCTTCATTATTTTTAGGAACATAAAAATAGGGGATGTTTTTAAAACTCAAAATTCCTGTCGATAGTTGATTCAGCCATAGGACTCTGTTATGCTTAAGGAGTGACGTTAAGCCATTTGAGCTCTAAGTAATATTTTTCCTAGTAGCTCCGTGTGATGAATGTATGATCTTGTGATTCCTGGACGATATTTCCGCAAACACGCCTGCTGTGTCTTTGGTGAGCCTTTTGATTGGACGCAGTGCTTGGATCAGGAAGAGAGTGTTTGGGGGGTTTATAGCATAAGCTTTTCTGAGCTGGAATTTCTGTTGAATGTAAAAGAAAATCAGTCATTTAGGATCTTCTTAAATATGTGAATAAGCCTGCGAGTCTTGAGTATTTTTTCCTACGAGGTATCCTTACCTGCCGGGTCAGTCTGGTAGGTGTGCCCTCCAGCAGTCGTGGTTGTACCCCTTTATGTGGCTTAGACTTGGTGAGGGGGACCATGGAGCCGGGCTCCGGATTCCGCGGGCCCTCTTCCCAAGAAAGGATGGCCACGGGCCCTGAGCGGGCACGTGCCCCCGGGGACATGGAAGCAGCTCTCCCGGGACAGGTCCCCTGGGAGCCCTAGGCCAGGTGTCCCTCCTCCAGGGCAGTGGTGCTGCTCCACCTGTCGCCGGGCTAGAACAAATGCACAGTCTTTTCTACCATCCACTGCTTCTCACTGTGATTTGTAGGATGTCCTTCCCCTCGCTCCCTCCCCATGACATCATGGGCAAATGATAGCTTTTCGACATGGACAGCCATTAAAAGCTCCAGTTCCACCGATTTCGGTTTAAACCTTCAGTCTCCTATGCAGCATTAAGCTGTTCTCCTCCCTTACTTACCCCAGGGTTGGGCCACGTGCTGCAGGAAGCCCTTGGACGGGCGGGTTGTGGTGCGCCCTGGGGTAGGGCCTTCTCCGCCCTCTGCTGGGATCTCTGGGATGGGGACTGGTCAGAAGCAGCAGTGCGAGGACAGCGTTTCTGACCTGGGAGTATTACAGCTCTATGGCCTGGCCGTGTGGCTCCGTGGCTGAGCGCTGACCTATGAACCAGGAGGTCATGGTTCGATTCCCAGTCCGGGCACGTGCCTGGGTTGCAGTCTTGATCCCTGGTAGGGGGTATGCAGGAGGCAGCCGATCAATGATTCTCATCAGTGTTTCTCTCTCTCCCGCTCCCTTCCTCTCTGAAATCGATAAAATTATATTTAAAGAAATAAAGCTCTTAACAGTGGCAGCCAGGGTCCTCTGATGGGAGTCCACACGGGCCTTTGGTGGGATTGTGCAGGGAGAGCCCTGCCCAGCGTTCCCGGGCCTGACACTGCTGCCCGCACACCCCTCCTGGGCCCTGTCCCGTCCGTCCTCCCCGGCTCCTGGGGGTGCGGTGCGTGTGCGAGGTGGGCTGGGGATATTTTCTTGTGCGGCCAGATTTTGTTCATACCATCAAGATGGCCCCTGTCGGTTGCCTCCTGCAGTTTCCACGTAACCCATCAAAACGCACTTCCTGGTGACGCCAGACGGTGGCCTGCAGGTGCCCACATCGGCCCCCTTCCTGGCCCCGCCTTTCTACGCAGGCTCTCCTTGTAGCCCTTCTCCTCCCGGTGAAGGATGATGCTCTTGGGTGTCCCCTGCTCCTGTTTGGGGTGAGTACCCCTCCGTTCCCTGTGCTCTCCCCGAAGACTTCTCAGTGTTTCCTCTGTCTTCTGTCAGCTGTGTGTGGTGTGGGACGATGGTGAGGCGTTGGTCAGGGTGCTGGAGCCCTGAGGTCTGTGGGGGTGTCCCTGTGGGCTCCCCAGAGGTTTGATCCCGACGTCCATACGTGCTCAGCTGTGTGTGTGTCAGCAGTTTGGGGAGAATAAGGACGGTCTCACCCGACATCTAGGTAACAGAACAGCAGGGTCCTGAGGGCCTAACCAGGTCTCACTCTGCAGAACTTAACTTCCCTTTCTTTTTCTTTTCTGCCTCTGACTTCTGTTTTCATTTTTTGGCTTACTTCCTGGTTCCTGACTGATGAAGTATTAACTATGACTTTGTTAATTTATCGCTAATTGTATTATCTAATCATATGTTAGAGCATAAGTAATGCTGAAGGATAAATATTGGGGAGGTTTTAATCATATAATTTTATCTATTCTTGCCTCATACCAACTTAACTAAAAATGATACAAATCCAGTGAAATAGAGTGTTTGAACCTTTTTCCTTCGTCATCTAAACAAACCAGTCAGATAAGTCTGCTGAATGATTTCTTGTCTGATGAGGAAGATGCAAGTTTGTATTTGGAAAATTAAACATTCAGATTAGTTGCAGTAATTATGGGTTTCTTAATACTTCATTCAACAAATTGTTACTGAGTGCCTTCCGTGTACCAGCAGCTGTTTTAGGCATTAGAAAAGCAGTAGTAAACAGAAAAGCAAATCCCTGCTCTCCTGGAGCCTGTATTCCCAGCAGAGAAACAAACAGGTCAGTAAGTAAGGAATTACCCTTAAAGCCACCCCCTCCCTCCACCCTCCACCTGCTGAGCTCCCTCTACCTCCGGATCCCCCAGTCCCCTCAGCCCCCCAGCTGCCCAGGGCCAGCCCAAGGCTCAGGTAACCAGGGCCGGCCGAGGCTTGCGCTGCCGGCAGTGGCTGCAGCAGAGGTGTGATGGGGCATTGCCTTCCCTGATCACAGGGTTGCCTCCCGCCCCTGAAGGCTCCCAGACTGTGAGGGGGCAGGCCGGGCTGAGGGACCCCCCTCCAGGGCATGAATTTTCATGGACCGGGCCTCTAGTAACTTTATAAGAATCTGCCAAACTGTATTCCCATGTTGCTGTATCATTTTGCATTCCCACCATCAGTGTATGCGAGAGTGTTCATTTGTTCATGCTTGTCAGCATTTGGTATTGCCAGGTTTTTTGTTTGTTTGTTTTTAGGTGTTTTTTTGTTTGTTTTAGCCATTCTAGTAGGTACGTAGTGGCATCTTATGGTGTTTCTTTGCAATCCTTCCTGATTAATGTGCTTATTTACCATATATGTAGATTTCTTTGTTGGCTTGTCTTCATATTTTTTGCCCATTTATCTATTTTGTTGGTTGTCTTATTATTGAATTATAATAATTCTTTGCCTGTTCTTGGATATCGGTTATTTGATGTAAGTGTACTGAATATTTTCTCCCATCTGTGTCCTTGTCTTTGGATTTCTTTTTTATTTTTTTTTTTCTTCCTTTTCCTTTTGATTTCTTAATGGTTTCCTTCAAAGAGAAGTTCTTAATTTTAACTAAGTCCAGGATGTTAACCGTTACCTGGCCCAGGTTCCCGCATGTTATCGGAGGCGTCTGGCTACCACACAGGGCCCTGAGGACTTGCTCCCGGGTGTTTCTTAGAAGCGTTCCTGCTGCAGCCTTTACGTGAGAGCCCTGACCCATCGCGAGCTCGTCTCCTTCCACGCGGAGAGCGGAGAGCGGAGAGCGGAGCGCGGATCGTTTCAGCGCCACTCGTGCAAAGACCGTCCTTCCCCCATGGAACTGCCTTGGCATCTTTGTTGAAAACCAGTTGACAGCATAGGAGTGGTTCTGTCTCTGGGTGCTCTTCTGTTCTATTGATTTAGTAGAGCTCTCTCTTCACCAGCCCCACCCTGTCTTTATTGCTGTGGCTTTATTGTAAATCTTGAAATCAAGTAAGTGCAAGTCTGTTCGTCCTGACGGAGTTCTCACTGTGAGTAAACGAAGAGCCATTTAGATAAATCCATTCCGCTGCCCAGAGAGTGCTGGGTACACAGGCGCCAGGCACAGCAGGAAGGAACCCTTGCTCGTTTCTAGAGAAAATGACCGTCAACACTGTTTTTAACCCAAGTCCTGGTTTTAACGTCGATCCTACAATAACAACGTCGGCACTTCAGATCCACGATGCGCCGTGTCACCGAAGTCTCCGTCAGTCTGCAGCCTCTCCTGCTTTCCCTGTCGACATGGTTTTGCTGAGGAAACGGGGCTCTTTGTCCTGGTCTTTCCCAGTGTGGCTTGGTGATTGAATCGCTCTGTCCCGGTTATTGGGTTCCTCTGTGCCTGTATTTCTGTCGATCGGCAGTTGGAATCGGGGGATCTAGAGACCTGGTGGAAGGTCCAGGTAACAGCTTCTTTTGGTGACAGTAGGTTCACCTCATCGGTGATGGTGCGTTCCATCAGGAGGCACGTAGTGCCTGCTTCTCTCTCTCCATGATGGTCGCTGGCTTTGTTTTGGTTCATTTTAGTTTTAAGAGTTGAAAAGGTTTTGGAGAGACGGGGTGGTGTCGAGATTAAATACAAGCTGCAGAGTCCAAGGATCTGGGTCATGTTTTGATCCGTTTCCTACTAGTTCTCTCGTCTTGGAAAGTCGCTTCCCTCCTCAGTGTTAAGTTTCTTGTCTGAAATGGGAAAGATGGTGCTACCCAGAGTCATTTTGAGGATTAAATGAGAAAGTGCATGGGAAAGAATCGAGAGCCTAGCATACAGTAAGTGGCCAGTGGAAGTTAGCTACTATTGTTTTGTGTATTTAAAAATACTCTGGCCCTGACTGGTTTGGCTCAGTGGATAGAGCGTCGGCCTGTGGACCAAAGGGTCCCGGGTTCGATTCCAGTCAAGGGCATGTACCTTGGTTGCAGGCACATCCCCAGTAGGAGGTATGCAGGAGGCAGCTGATCAATGTTCCTCTCCCATCGATGTTTCTAACTCTATCCCTCTCCCTTCTTCGCTGTAAAAAATCAATAAAATATATTTAAAAAAAATACTCTGGAGCAGTCTGAAAGGCAGACCCTCTTGATTTGTAAGTGAGGAATGGAAGTTTGGGCAGCTGATTCTGGGTTCACTTGGGTTTGTTTCGGGAAAAGTAAGTACATTATTCAAGTGAGGGGCATAGCCTCCTTCGTCCTCATCAGTGTGAGCCGTTGCCCTTGGTAACCACTCATACTCCCTGGCTTTGTATGTGTTCCCCTTGACCGGCTCCCACCTGCTGTTGGAAGTGGGTTGAACAAATCATCCCATAGCACACGTTACCTCCAAGTCCACTGAGAAATCCTCACCCTGGTGTTTTTGTCTTACAGTGTAATGTTCAAGCTCAGAAATGCCTTATGTGGATCGTCAGAATCGCATTTGTGGTTTTCTAGACATCGAAGAAAATGAAAATAGTGGTAAATTTCTTCGAAGGTACTTCATACTGGACACCAGAGAAGATAGTTTTGTATGGTACATGGATAACCCACAGGTTTGTAAAATCCAAAGGTTACCTTTCTGCAAAAGCATGCCCGAGTTTTCATTGTTAAAGTATTTGACGTTGTATGATGTTGGGATTTGTCTTCCAAAACATTATGTGTTTAGATTTGTTTCTACTGGGACACTGTCTCTGCCCTGCCCCCAGCTCCTGCTGTCTCATTTGAATTTCAGATGAAACTAAACTTATTTGATAAAAATGTATGCACCACATATGCTTTTCCTCCCTGGGAGAGAAACACTAGCTCTGGTAGAAAATTTAAAATCCTTTAGATTAGCAGTCGCCAACTTTTCGGACCTCACGGACCCCCGGTGTCCGCGGACCACCGGTTGGCGACCGCTGCTTTAGATGTGAGCTGCTGTCTCTAAGGGGAGCCTGTCTTTTGGAAATACGCTGCGCAAACTAGCTGACACTCGTGCACGGATGTCGGCCTTTCATCGTGTCGCGTGAGAACTGGAGTGTCAGCTAGTGCAGTGCCGTTCGTGGTGGAAATCCACTTTGTTTGTTGGTGTCTTGTGAGTCACGAGGGGTAGATGTTGTGAACTGCAGACGAGAGGCCTGGATTAGCGATCACCAGCTGAGCCGTCTTATATCTTCTCTACCTGAGAATCTTTGTTAATTGAGATGCATGTTGCTAGGAAGCGTGTGCAGAGCAAGAGATGAGCCCCTAGCAAACTTGTGAGCTGCTCTGGTCAGTGGGCTTCTGGTGCAGGCGAGGAGCCTGCAGCCAGGAGAGCAGGGCCGGAGGAGGGTCTGTGCTGCGCTGCACCGACGCGGTGAGATGCATGCGCACACGCTCATGCATTTGTGTGTGCGCATATAGAGTTTGAGTGTCAGGGGCCTTGGCATTAATTCAACCTCCTGAGTGCAAGAAACCCATTTACCCTGGTCTGCACCTTCCTGTTGTTTGGACTGCATTTTGCTAAGAAGTGCACGTTCTGTGTGAGGCGGCTTTCGTTGTTACTTGTTTCGTGAGCCATGATCCAGTGCCTGTGTCTTCTCCCCACTGAGCCTCCTTTTGCCCTTTGACTCTCCATTAAGTCCAGACCTTTGTCCTCACGCGGCCTGTCAGGCTTTGGAGGATAATTTGTTCTTTCGTTCCGATGATATTGGAGCGCAGGCTGTGGGTGAGACTTGTTTTTGCCAGGAACTGTCTTTTCTCTCCTTATTCTTAAGAGCTTACTGACCCCCAGGTTTACCGCCTCACCTCTGGGTGTAGCCAGCTGTCCTGGGTGGTGGTGACCTGGCTATGCAGCCACATGAGTCACACCTGTGTTTACCTGACCAGAGGCAGTGGCAGGAGGACAGGGCAGCGCAAGTCAGAGGCCCATCCTTGCCTTTGTTTTTAATGTAAAGCTGATTCCTCCCTTTTGTGGCCCCGCCTTTTTCTGTGGCACAGGCCCCTCCCACACTCCTTTCCCCAGCCCAGGTGGAAGCACCTGGAAGTCCCCGGCACCTTCTCATGGCCGCGTGCCGTGCAGGGGCCCTGCCTAGCCTCCTCACCCCGCAAGCGGTATGCACTCGTCGCCCCGCAGGACCTGGCTGACTCACAGGCGGTTTCTCCTGGGCTTTATGTTCAAGTCCTGGATGGTTTTCAGTCTTCATCTGTCACAGGTTCTGCTCCTCAGAACCCCTCCTGTTATCAGTACTTGCCCCTGAAACGGAGCAGAAAGACCGTAGGCACAGAGGAGGGCATGTTTATTGCAGGGAGGGAAGCCAACTTGGCATGGAGAGGAGGGCGGTGGCTACAGCCAGCGGAGGGAGGGAAGCCTTCCTGGAGGCGGTGACATGAGAACTTGACCTGGAGCCACAGACGATTCTGGCCCCGAGGCGGGGCGGTGGTGGCGGTGGTGGCCGTGCTCGGAGAACAGCCCGGCAGCAAATCAGACAGCCCGGGCCTGGCCGGGGCAGCGAGGGTGCCGTTCAAGTTTGCACTCAGCCTGTCTTTTTCACGTGAACTCTGGGAACCAGATTCTGTGGTGTCGTTAACACATGGGTTTTCTCGAATGTAGTGCAGAATTTTAAACCTGTCCTTTCACTCCGTTCTCAGTAGATGTGTCTCTCCATTTCAGCTGAAGGGAAGCTTTCACAGCCTTGGTTCTGCCAACCATCGTACCAGTCATCAGTGCCAGCGTCGTGTGACTTTTAAACGTATTAGTAAAGACTTACATCTTTCATGGAACTTTAGTGTAATGTGCTGAGAGAGTTCCATTAGAGTGAACCATGTGAACTTGCCAATGCTCCAGTATTTTCATGCACTAAAATGGCAATTTCATATGATTCAACCTAGTTGCTTATGGCTACAGTGCAGTAACGTTACACTGACCACATAAACCTCATAATGCAAGCACATTAGTTTGGCTCACCTGTTCTCCGGGAGCCATTTTTCCTCTGTTTTGTTTTCTTTATCACTAGTCATTGATTTAAAAAAACGTATTCTCGTATGTGCTTAGGGGTCAGCTGGGGGCGTCCTGTTCTGTTGAGGGCGGGGATAGTGGCGGGGAGCACAGTAACGGAGTAGCTGTATAGGAAGGGAATTCGGAGAAACCTGAAAGAGTATTTTGGCAAAAAGCCTGCAGGAACGCCTAGAACAAATGGCTTCCTTTGCTTTTTATCTTAAATGTCATGTTGGTTTATTATTTCTTGTTCACCGTCCGGCAACATCTTTTGAAACCCACACTTTTCCCGTTGAACTTGGCAGCAGCCGTGCGGCCCATCGGTGCTGGTGCTTCGCATGCCCCTCGTCCCGGCTGCTTCTGTTTCCTTGTGCTGGGCCAGTCGGTGACCCCGCTTCATGCAGCCCCAGTAGCTTCTCACTCCTCCTCACAGGCTGAGAGCTGCGCCGTCTGGTTAGGTGAGAGGCGTGTGGAGGACTGACAGAACATGGTCGATTTTGAAGGGAAGGTAGCAGTGTTTGACAGAAGTCACTTTGACCCTAACCAGTTTGGCGCAGTGGATAGAGCGTTGGCCTGTGGACTGAAGGGTCCTGGGTTTGATCCAGTCAAGGACACATGCCCGGGTTGTGGGCTCGATCCCCAGTAGGGGGTGTGCAGGAGGCAGTCGATCAATGGTTCTCTCTCATCATTGATGTTTCTCTCCCTCTCCCTCTCCCTTCCTCTCTGAAATCAGTAAAAACATATTTTTTAAAAAGTCACTTGGTAGTAATTAGGAGGGCCTGAAGACATTTTAACACTTAATTCCCTTATCCCAAATTTAAAAAGCAACCAGACAAAATCCTCTCAATGTAAACCATCTTGTATAAGAACACAACCACTTAAAGTTACACACTAAACATTATAACTTTATGTCCGTATTTATGTGTGGTTTATGTGGAAGCCTGTCCATTGCGCACAGTTTCAAGCAGAACGTAATGCAGTTTACGTGACGTGGGAGTGAAAGTTGAGAAAAGACTATCCCTGTCGCAACACCAAGCTCACGTCTGGGAATCTGGTCTTGGAGGTGTTGCAGCTCCCACGCAGTTAGCCTCCCAGGGAGCGTGAGAGGCCTGAGAAATGCACTTCCTGCTCACGCCTGAGAACAAGCCCAGAGGCTTTTCAATGCACATGATTATAAAGACCATTAAAAAGGTGATCTTGCTTAATCTGCAGTGGAGGACACTTTAAAAATCAAGATTGTTTTAATTTTCCTTTTGAAATATTCCATCAGTCTTTTATATATTTCTCTCCAGCTTCCTTATCTGGTTTTCTTACCTGTATCTCCCTCCGCTATAATCTGTCTGATTTATTATTTTCCAGGATGTATTAATTAAAGCACAGAGCTGCTCACACGCTTTCTATAATGGTTTCAAATTCTTGCCAGTATGAACTCCGTGGTCTTTGCTTCTCGGTTAGGTCCGCTGAGAAGGTTCTCCGCTCAGGCGCTCCAGCCCGTTTCCTACAGCCCGAGGGCCCCTGTCCTTCAGCCACTGCCCCACTCAGGCCGCGCTTCTGGCCGTCCATCCGCGCTGGGGCTTGTTCTCTCCTGGAAGAGTCTCTCTCTTGCTCTTGTGTTTCAGATTTTTCCTTCAAATGTCGTTTCTCCCTGCAGAGTCTTTCCTGATAGTTTTGGGCAGAAAAGATTCTCTCTCTTTCAAGACATAAATCACATTCCAAACTGGTTAGGGGAGGAATAAAAATATTTTGTGTGAAAGTATCAATATGTACATTCCCTGGCATGGTTTAAAGAGTATCAATTAATAACTTAAAATTTTTTAAAATACATTGTATCAATACAGATAAAGTTTAAAATAAGAGATAATTCAGTCTTTTTTTAAAAAAAATACTTAATTTAAAAATTTTAATAGAACAAAGTAATACGTAAAGTCTTTTGAAGTTCCTTGCAATGGTTTTATGACTCTAAATATTTTTTCCCATTGCTTTCAGGAACAAAATCTGATCTTGTTTATAGATTTTGAAAAAATACTTTAAAGAATAAGTTCTTCTTGATTTTTAGAGACAGAGAGGAAGGGAGAGGGAGGGAGAGAGAGAGAGAAACATCAATGAAAGAGAAGTATAGATTGGCTGCCTCCTGCACACCCCCTCCTGGGGTTTGAGTCTGCCACCTGGGAATGTGCCTGACCAGGAAGTGAACTGACAGCCTTTCAGTGCACGGATGATGCTCAGGGGCAGCCACACTGGCTGGGGCTTGTTGATGGGTTTTCACGCTCATGAAGAGGTTAGTTATGGTGTCAGAAACAGCTTTGTAGTTATAGAATCTGTTAAGGTGGGACAGAGTAGACTTAGTTTGTTATCCGTGTTGTCAAAATGGATAACAAATTGATTTCAGACCTAGGAGGTACTTGAACTGAAAAGGCTGATATATAAAATGTGATACTAAAAGTTTTAATGTATTAACTTTTTAAATGTGTAGAGAATTATAACAAAGTCATGAGGTTGGATATTAACTATGTATTAATAATTTCTTCTAGAACCTCCCTTCTGGATCATCACGGGTTGGAGCCATTAAACTTACCTACATTTCAAAGGTGATCTTTCTGTACTAGTTACATTTATGCTTGAATGGAGTGTGCATAAAAGGAGAAGTTTCCTTTCTGTGTCATTTAATGATGATGTTCAGGTTCAGATCGTACTGAAAATAGGACCTGAATACTATGTTTAGCATGTTCTTTGATAAAATTAGGAAGAATATGGAATTAACTTACAGGATGTAACACATTGCAAACTTTAACAGTAATTTCTGTGATGAGGTAAATGAACATCAGAAGGGGAGAAATCAGCAATTAGGTTCTATCTTCAGGAAACGGATAACATTTTTCTAAGTCTATTATATTTACTTACACTGTTTCCATTACCTTTACTTTTTCTTTACACTTTATTTTGAGGAAAATATGAACCATTCTATATAATAAAAGCCTAATATGCTAAGTGTCCGGTTGGCCGTTCAACCAATTAAAGTGTAATATGCTAATGATATGCTATGGCTGCTCAACTGCTCGCTATGATGTGCACTGACCACCAGGGGGCAGATGCTCCGAACCATAGGTTAGCTTGCTGCTGGGGTCCAGCCGATCGGGACTGAGTGAGATGGGCCGGACACGCCCTGAAGCCCTCCTGCAGTCCCTTCCCGGCTGCGTTCCTCCCTGTCCCCTGTCGTGCACCAGTGGGGTCCTTCGGCCTGGTCTGCGCCCTCTTGCAATCCAGGACCCCTCGGGGGATGTCGGAGAGCCATTTTTGCTCCGATCCTGCAGGCCAGGCCGAGGGACCCCACTGGTGGATAAAAGAATGATTCCCCCCCCCCCCCCCCATTTCACTTTTCTCTCTACTAATTTCTGTTTTCTTGTTTGTTGATTTTTCTGGCATTTAAAAAAATACTTATTTCAGAGAGGGAGGAAAAAGGGAGAGAGAGATAGAAGCATCAGTGATGAGAGAGAATCATTGATGGGCTGCTTCCTGCACGCCCCACACTGGGGATCGAGCCCACAACCTGGCCATGTGCCCTGACAGGGAATCGAACCGTGACCTGCTGGTTCGTGGGTCAATGCTTAACCACTGAGCCACACCAGCTGGGCTTTTCTGGCATTTTTGTAACACTATTTTTCTTTTTAAAAATTTTGATTTGATAATGTCAGGTATTTTCTATTCTGTGGGCTTTTTGTGTTTTACACAAAGTAATATTTTTGTGGATGATTTAAGATCTGAGCTGTGAAAAGTAGCACATAGTCTGCCTAAGCATACGCATACGCTTACTGTTCTGCATATGTCGGGATTTGTTAGCAAGGTCTTCAACAAGACGCCAGTTTACAGTGTGTCTCTGTTTAAAAGGTATTTTTATAAATAAAATACTTTGCTATCAGTATAACAATAGAACTGTTCATTCTCACCGACAAGAGAATTAGCCCCTGGACAATAAAGATGACATATTTTAAGGGAAATGTTTTGTGGTAAGGCCATATAATGTAAATTTATGAGACAAATGTTGTTTAAGTTTACCTCAAGTGTTCCTGTAAATTCAGACTTTTTTAAAATTTATTTTTTATTTTTTTCTCTTTTTAAATTAAGACATTTAATAAATACTTCAGGGTAGCTGGCAGCTTAAATTCTAGCAGACTATGAACAGGAAGCGTAGAATTGCATGGTGCGGGGAGTTGTAGGTCCCCAGTTGCTTGGTTGCCTGTGCTGCACATGCGTGCGCTGCGGCGTAAATGTGCCGCCAGCATTCCCACTCAGTGAGGTCGGGTGGAAAAGCCTCTTTTTCGGGAGTCGGCAGCTGAGGGAGCCATTGCCCGTCTGCGTGTGTCTTTACAGTTGCTTATTGCCTGGTCTTTTTACAAACGGGAGCTCTTTTTATTTCTAAAATTTTTCCAAGGTAAAGCGTGCTTTTATTTATTTATTTATTTTTTTGTTTATTTTTTATATTAGCACTTTATTTGTGCTTGGTTTTAATCAAGAATTGCTTTCTTTTAATTTTTATTTTTTTCAATTACAGTTTCCATTCAGCATAACTTTGTGTTGGTTTCAGGTGGGAAAATGGGAGCTCTTTGTAAAAATGAGCTATTAACTAAGCAAGCAGGCGGCCTGGCCAGCTGCTTTCCCTTTCTCCGTCGCTTCCCTTTGAAAACGTCACTTTCTCTGTGTAGTTCACTTTCATCTCTGTCCCCGGCTTACGCAAGTGTGAGGGCTGCAGTTAGCACTCACCGTAGACATGCCACTTCCCCAGAGCTGACTCCTGGAGCACGTGGCCGTGTGACTCAGAGCTGGGGCTTTAGAGTCGAGAGCACTTGGCAGTCCCGGCTTAGAGGGTAAAACAGTCCCCACACCGGGCACAGCAGGCTGTCGGCATGAATGGGCTTCCAGCAGCTGTGTTACCAGCAGGGATGGCAGCGAGTGGGGCCGTCCGGTGGCTCCACCTTCTGAAGGAGCCCGTGCTGCATTAGTAACGAGGCCCCTTAGCCCCGGATGCTCCACTGCAGCGGTCGCCAGCCAACCTTTCGGACCTCACGGACCACCCGTGCCCGCGGACCACCGGCTGGCGACCGCTGCCCTAACGTACCAGAGAGGATCCGGGCCAGTCTTTACTTCCTCGTCGCAGACTCCTGCCTGCTGGATTGTCGGGCTTTCTTAAGCATACATTCTCCCACCGTCACCTCCTAGAGTTCACAGCTAATTCAGAAATACACAGTTTTGGGAAGAAGTCATAGTTTTTTAGAGGTATTTTGGAAAATACTACAAGTAAATACATGTGTGACATAAAACTGAAAGGTTTGCTTTCAATTCTTCACATTTCCTTTGGGAGAAAAGTTTGCTCAGAGAACATGGAAGCGTCATTTGTTGCCAGCAGCTCACGAGGGGAGCCCGCAGCCACATGTAAACAGCGGTGCTTTCAGCTCCTCTGGAGTTTCCTCCCCCTCTGTGTGCTGGAGGTGGTGAGGAGGGAAGGTACACTGGCCGTGCGCTGTGTGGGCCGGCTGCGGCGCCATGCAGCAGCGAGTGACTCATCTCTTTCTTGTAGGTGAGCGATGCAACTAAGCTGAGGCCAAAGGCGGAGTTCTGTTTTGGTGAGTAGCCAGGTCTTACACGGCCGCTATTTTAAGTTAAACTAGTGTCACTACCTCCTTGTAAAGAAAGCAGTCGCCGAACCGCGCAGCACTCCTGAGGGCTGATGAGTTGTTCTCGGCAGGTTCCCCAGGACCACCTTCAGGGGAGGAAGGAGAGCTGCTGCTCCCGCCCCCCCAACCCCGCTCTCCCCCGCTCTCCCCACTCCTCCCGCTCTCCCCCGCTCTCCCCACTCCTCCCGCTCTCCCGGCTCTCCGGGGTCTCGCCCAGTCCCCCTCCCTTGGAGGGTAGCTGATGACCTGGTTATCAGGCACTTAGGAATGTCTGGTAGGTGTCCGCAATGCTTGGCACCGGGGCTGCCAGAGTAACGAGAAGCAGTTGCTGCCCTTAGAGCAGGGGTCCTCAAACTACGGCCCGCGGCCACATGCAAATACAAATATTGTATTTGTTCCCGTTTTGTTTTTTTACTTCAAAATAAGATATGTGCAGTGTGCACAGGAATTTGTTCATAGTTTTTTTTTTTAAACTATAGTCTGGCCCTCCAACGGTCTGAGGGACAGTGAACTGGCCCCCTGTTTAAAAAGTTTGAGGACCCCTGCTAGAGCCTCCCAGGCAGGCACCATGCTCGGTACCTGTGTCTGTGACATCAGGAGGGAGAGGAAAGGGCTGTAAAGCTTCGGGTTCTCGTGGGGCATCTCGGGAGCCAGGGGAGTCACACTGACTGCGGGGACCCTGGGGTGGTGGCCGCTCACCTGACCATCCTTTGCCCAGGGAGAGAAGAGGAGC